GAAAGCCTGGGAACTGGAAGTTAAGTGAGAAGAAATATTCTCATATACTTTCCATATTAAGTTACTGAGATAGAATTTTTCATGCCACTAAATGTTGTATAGGATGTTCTATAGTGTGTACGTATATTATCCCCTTTATAAGTTACCTGTGTATTGGAGACCCTAGGTCTTTTTATTTATTTGTTCATCACTGTGTTCATTCATTAGAAAATAAAGTGATTTTTTTCCCATTGTGATTCAACCAGAATATCTTAAATGGAAAATTTTGTGGATATACTTCATTATCTCATTGATGTTCAAGAATTTGAAATAAAATCTGCTGTTTTGTGCCATTTTTTTACTAAACTTTCCAATTTTATGCAGTTATGCAAATAAAGCTTTTTTTTTTATAAAATGTTAGTACTTTAGCAGGCATGTGCTTACCTGCCTCATGACATGGGGTTCACGGTATTTATATAGTTATATTCCAACATTGCCCCTTGGAGTTTGGATTATAATTGGAAATAACTTATTAATGATTATGGCACTTGTATATAAAATCTCTTTGGGTTCATAATTTGATGGTTCTGTAATTGCATGATCTTGAAGATCAGAGATTTTTATTTTCTAGTGAAACTACTGTGACCTCATTCTGTCATCAGTCTCTTATAATATTAATGTTGCATCTACATGAGAAATAGCATTCCCACTGTTGCTCAGTGGTTAGAGCATTGGCCTGTTCACCAAAGGTTCAAGGGTTCGATTCCTAGTCAAGGGCAGGTGCCTGGGTTGCATGTTCAAGAGGCAACCAATGGAAGTGTCTCTCACATCTCTCCTCAGTCCCTCCCACTCTCTCATAAAAAAAAAAAATCAGTGGAAAATATATCCTCAGGTGAGGATTAACAAAAAAAAGAAAAAGAATAGCATTCCTAAGACCCTTCCTCACCCTGTACAGCCTAGTGATTACCCCTTCCCCAGCCTTGGCAGGAGGCTAGATTTTTGCTTGTCAGGAAATTGAGTCAGAGAGGCTCTGGACACATTTAAGTTACCAAACAAATTAACAATGAGGGGCTAGATTAAGTGGGAATCAAAACATACCAAAAAAAACAAGACCACAGACTCTCTTGTGCCACTGGCTCCAAGAACCTTGCCAACCAGTTGTTTATTTCTGCGATCATCACTCCTTCCCTCATCATCAGATAATTGGAAAATTCTTCTCTGGAGAAAAAAAAGGTAGCCTCAGAAAAAGAGATATTTGAATTTGAGTACCCCAACAAAAGGACCAGCTACCCATGTGATCATCCTTCCGTGAAACCAAACAGGTGGAAAGGCCACTCCCAAGTCAGCTTTTTAATGCACAATTATCAGCGGATAATAAAAGGAAGACTTCTTAGACAAGTAAAAAAAAAAAAAAAGGTTGATTAAATAGCTTCTGCACAACAAATGAGAGATTTCATAGAGAAGGCTGAGAAACTGTGAGACCTTTCTGGGATCTGAGGACTCTCCAGGATAGGAGGAATCTGTGACTGACGTTGTTTTCATATCCCTCCACTTGGATAATGCAGGCAGGAACTCTATCCGTGTGCTCCAACTGACGCCTAAGGCCAGCTGGAGCTTGATTCAGTGGGTCGAACAGGTTATAGCACTATACGCATTAGGCCACTGCTGTGTGTTCTCACAGGGCTGCCCTGCTATGACTGTTCCATAGGCAAAGAGCTGGAACAACAGGGAGTTACCGTATTTGCCGGCGTGTAAGACGATTTTTTGGCCCTGAAAAATATGCCTCCAAGTGGGGGGTCGTCTTATACGCCAAGTACACTTCAGATAGACTGCCCATAGTGCTTGCCCCGTGCCATAGTGGCCTCCCGATGCCCGCCCACTTCATTCCA